AACACAGCATAAATCGCTTCCATCGGATTCAATTAATTGATCGATTCCATCGATGGAATCAGCTCTTAGTTAATGAACATAACCAAATTCAGGAAACGAAAGACAATATTGTTCTTATGTTATTTTAAAAACTAAATGTAGCACCTAAATGGTTCTCAACAGTTCTTTAATTTCCATTAGAATAACGAAAAATTTAATAACAGTAAATTCTTCGGTTGAAAATATTGGACTAACTTTTAAAGAAAATTTAAGATTGTAATAAGATTAAGATATAGACTGATATTTCTTTTGTAAATATAACATTCACTACTCATTTAGTTATAAATAATCATGGACCATCGATAAGAACATTCTAATTTATTACTTTTTTTCGTGAATTTTTCTTCAATAAACCTTTCTTCTTCCACTGACATCTGTTTTATTATCTTTAATATCGCTATCCTATAGGTTTGAGATCTTTCCTTCAATGAAGTATCTGTCTTCCTCTCACTCTTCCACCAATATTATGTTAAAATAATTTGATTAATTAAGAATAATTACTATATTCTGTGAACATCATCTAACCATATCAGCCTTTACTTACAATGAAACCCAGAACTCTGGAAAAAGCATTTCATTCCTTTTTTGTTTTTAATCTAGATATTAAAATAACTTTCCAATGTTTGTTAGACAATATATATCTTCCCAAGATTCTTCTTTCTCAACTTTTCTACACACATTTGTCTTTAGAAGTGAGCATTCAAGATTTAAAAAAAAAAAATTGATTAAGCATTATATAGTATTCCTGTGCTGTGCATTTTTGATAAAAGAAATGTTATAGTATTTCTTATAGGAAATCTTCAATAAACATAGAGTGCTAGTATGATTCATTGTTGATTTTTTTTAAGTTTCTTTTATTAAAAAATATTAAAATCTCTCCCAGTTAAGGACAATTATAATAATGATCACAGAACCCATGCAAATATTTACAGAAAACATAAATAAATTAATTACATAATAGAAATATAAAAAATAAAAGTAAGAAAAAAATAAAATAGCATAAAGAAAAGGGGGAAAAAATGCACTGGAAAGTAAAATAAACATTTTAAGCACAGAAATACTATGATCATAGGAATACCTAATAATTAATTAAAATTTTAATAATTCTCATCCATAAAATTATTACTTATAATATTTTTTTTTACACAAAGCTATAAAACATTATTACTATACATAAAATTGAGAATAAAATTTAAAAATATGAATAAAATATTATATTAATGGAAGATTCATTACTTTAATACTTGTTTATTCAATTTAAAAAATTTTTGAATGAGGAATTACACCAAAACAATAATGATACCTTCTGTTGTAAATGCAATCCCTAGGAATTTCGGAATCGCTTAAAGAATCCTTAGAAGTTTTGAGAAGGAAAATTATAATTATTATTATAGTAAACATCAATCACATTTTTCGTCCTTTAAAAACTTGGTTGATTGATAAAAAGAACTTCATCTGAAATTATTATGTAATCATAAAATAAATTAAATGTTATTATTGTCATGTAAAACTTTGAACTTTTGTTAATGAAATTTTATTTTATTGTTAGAGCATAATATAAATTAATCTTAAGCTTTATTGTTAGTTGTTGTAATTTAATTGTTTCTATTATTAAGATTATAAATTACTATATAATTGGATGTTTAAAATTAAAGTTTTAACAGTTGTTTGTTTTAATTTATATTTTATTTAAACTATACACTATGGTAAATAAATGTTTATGAATCTCATGAGTTAAAAATTAAAATGCTTCTGTTTGTTTCTTCTATGACATTCTAAAGATTATATTATCTTTATTACATTTTATTAAGTAAAAAATCATGCAGTGTTCATTTATTTTTCCCCTCACAAAAAAATATTGTATTTTCATAAGAGAGAGAAACAATTTATTTTCATAAAAATATAAAATAAAAAAGATTGCTGCCCAATTATATTTGGTTACTATAAACACAGCATACTCTTTGATCCTTAGGACAATAAATGAACTTATATATAAATACACAGAAGTGTTAGTTTATATTAGTAAAATATATATATATATATATATATATATATATATATATATATATATATTTTCCTTCCTTTCATTGTTCATGCTTTTTTTTTTTTTTTTTTTTTTTTTACATTTAGTTTCCCTTTCTCTCTCTTGTTTTCAATTTTTCATTAAATAAATACATAAATTAAAACTCTTAGACTAGCCATGCACGTGGTGGTGAATGATTCCCAGGGACAATACAACTTTAAAAATAGCCTAGACATTTTATACTTTCCTGAATCTGATAAAAAAGATCTTTGGTAGTGAATGTGTGCGTGTAATATAAGACCCCGGAGGCAGTGGATCAGGGCAACCTTATAGCCCTGGAGAACCAGGACCCAAAAATCGACCTCATCGTGGACGATGGTTTGATTGTAAATTATGAAAGTGTATGTTACTCTGAGTAAAAAGAACCTTGTCTGTCCTTCCAGAGCCACTGCTTTTGAAAATTGCAGCTGATTAAACAATATTAGGATAGTAATTTGAAGATCGAAACGGGAAATTCATTATGAAAAATGTGAAAAGTTTTTATTTTTTCAACTTGTATATATGAATTTAAACATGTAAAAAAAAAAATGTTACTAATGCAGGCCACCAAGGGACAAGGGAAAACGTTTTAGTCAAAAAAGTCAGATTTTTTTTATTTTTCACAGATAACTCCTAAACGATGAATCAAAGCGAAAAATATATTCTTTACTAAATTAAAGAATGTTAAATTGTGCATCGAACAAGTACATAAAACTTTATAATCTGATTATATGGTAAGGTATAAAATAATTTAATGTAGGTCACTTACTCCAAATCAGTAATCTCCTGATGGTTAGAAATTGGTAAACATGATTTTCAATATTTCAACAGTATGGGTGTCTATTCTACTGTTTTTTTTTTTTTGTGTCTGTTGCATGCAGTATAAGCCTCTTCTTCACTTCTCAGCAGGGAAGGATTTGGATAAACGATGTGTCAAAAGATACCGAATTTCATAAAGGAATAACAAACCCCAATTTGAGAAATACTTGGCCTACAATAAAAATGTCAGTACTCAGTGGAAACAAATTTTGATGCTCTAGAACTTTGATTCTGACTTTTTTTGGCTGTAAAATGTTTTTCCTTGGGGGTCAGCGTAAGCAATTTTTTTTTTACATGTCTAAACCCATATAAACAAGCTAAAAAAATAAAACATTTTCTCTTACTTTTTTTAAATAGATTTTTTGTTTCGATCTTCAAATAACTGGTCTAATATTCTTTAAATCAGCGGCTCTGGAACGGCAGATACTAGGTTCTTTTTACTCAGAATAACATACACTTTCGTAATTTACAATCAAACCTTCGCCTACGATGAGGTTGGTTTTTGGGCCCTGGTTTTAGGGCATTAAGTGTGCAGCTGCAAAGGTTCAAATCTGGACTGAAGTGGTTTAAGTTTATTTTATGGCAGACTCATGGAATTAATGTCAAACTCATTCAGTCTGGAATGTGATGGTTACCTTAATATAAACCATCATTCCAGTGTTGGTTAGAGCACTTGAGAATGTTAAACCCAAAACATACGTCATAAAGATAACTTGATATATGAGGCCTTTGGAATTAACCATTAAGTCCCGTTATCAAAATTATTCAAGGGGATCAATCTTAAATATACGAATAATTAGTGCAAAGGCATAAAATAACCATTCCAGCTTGAAATTTTAGATATTTGAATTGACAAATTCATTATAATAAATAAGCACTCTATTATAATTGTAGGCATGTAAATTTCTTTCTTTATGATCAATTTTTTTTAAGCCGATGATCAATTTCTTTTAATCCATGCTAACAAAATACTCAAATCATCAAAGCATGTGCTTGACAAAAAAAAAAGAAGTTGTGCTTGGCTTACATATGTTTCCCAGTATTTGTGACCAATCTGTCAAGGGACATCAAATAGAGCCTTCAGAAAGTGCTGCATAAGCACTAGTGTTGCTTGATATTTGAGTTTCAGCTTGGTTTTTCATTTTCAAAATAAAAGTAATTTAAACCAAAATATTTTATTGACACAAGTATGTCCACATCTTCTCCACCATCCGTTTGTTCTTTTCAGTTTACCGAGAGTTTATATATATCTGTGTTTGTGATATTAGGGAAAACCGCCATTACCAGTCATTGAAAATTCAATAATTCCAGCTCATATCAGCTTCATCGGACTTCTGTTATCCATTATGGAGTAACTTTTTAATCAAAATACTTGCATCAAGCCTGTCCACATTCATTTTAAAGACCGACCGGCGGTATTGGTAAGATCTTAATATTATAAGATAGCTGAAAATGTAATGGTATTTATAAAATACTAAGAGAAGTTTCACTGTATACTAGGGTTCTCCTAACAATTGAGATATTACGCTCATGAATTAGTAGAAGCTGGTTAGGGGTGTGGTCAAAAATGATAAAAGTACACTTAAAAAAGGCTTTATTTTCTTGTCATTGCAGCCTAAGCTTTAGGCCTTCATTAAGGCTGTTTGTCTGAAATTTTCAAAGCAAACGTGAAGAGTCGTAGACATTAAAAGTATGAATAACTTAAGTTATGAAATACATTAAAATTTATAAAATATATCAAATCAACTTGGTTTAAAAAAATGTTAGGGCATACACCTAACAATATCCTTTTCTTATTAAAATAACAATCAACTGACAAATTAGTGCATACGATCGAAAGAATAAAAAAATAAAAAAATGTTTAAGAAACTAAATCATTGACAAGGTAGTTGTCTGAAATTATTTAGAGAAAGAAAGTTTTCCTCTTCTTGAACATAGTAATCCGGTGAAGACGTTATACCTCAAGATGTTTGTCTGAACCCTAATACATATAAGAAATATATTCTAACTTCAATTTATTTCATAATTTTTATTAATGATGTGTATATACATATCACTTAAGAAATATCACTTGTTGAGGTCTAAATAATTAGGAAGGTAAACAAAAGAAAACACTGTAAGGAGGTCAAAAAATGCAGATTTATTTCAAAATATATTGAGTAGAACAGGAAATGAGATTTCCTATCGCTATTAAGTTAATCAGTAATTTGTTGGCCTAATATTTTTGAGTTAGTGTTAATTAAGTCATTAGCGAACAGAAATCCTACACTTTGTCACTTATGTACATAGATATATTGCACAGAAAATATATAATTTTTAATAATATTACTATACAAACAAATCTCTATGTGGCATGATAATTTACAATATGATGAAACATTTATCATGCAATAAATATATGAAAAGTACCTAACAAAGGTCATGACGTAGTTACATTGTACCTTTTTGTATAACAATGGACATACATAAAGTACAAAGGTTGTAGGAATATACCTTATGTCCCCATATTTCCCAAGTGCAATTGGATAATCTCACTTTACTCTCATAACCATAATCAGTCTCAAAATTTATAAATATCGGAAAACTTACGAGACAATTTTTTAATATTGAAAATAAAAGGAAACATTATTTGTAATAATCACTAAAGTGAAAAAATAAAATAAAAAACAACAACTAGTTAATTATAAATCACAAGTACATATCAACGTGCCGACACATGTGAATTATAAATAAAATAAATAGAAAACATATACAAGCACACATTCACATGCATTGTGATGAGTAATGGAATGATAAAAACGCAAGTTAATTAGACTCAAAAACCTTTGAAGATTGATTTATGGCTTAACAAGTTTGTCAGTAATAATCACAGTCTTAAGGCAATAATTTATAAATGTACATAAATTACAATATCGATCTAAGTTAACTTTAACAGAACTTATTTTTATTTATATTTCCAATTCTAATGGAAATAGAGGAAACATTCTCGTTATAATAAAGGTGAAAACAGGCGATGAAAACTAACAAATAAATAATAAATTTATTCATACAGTTTAAAGCTAAAAAACCATTATAATGGAAGTTGGCCATTCAATTTTAATTTAAATAAAGATTATACTTCTAAAAATATTGCCTATATCGAACTCTCATACTCACAACAAAGCTTGCTCGCTCCACATCATAAACATTAAGTAGAGATTTAACATCTAACATCGAACAAATATTATAAAGGTGGGTGGAAAACGCAAAAGACTTTTAATATGGAGTACATTCTACTCCAGGTGCCTTCAAAGAGAGTGACACATCAAGGCAATACTAAAGAAAAAACAAAACAAAAAAAAACAAATTGTTACAAACATCTTTGGTATATACAGAGGGCAACAGATAGACACCTTTCTATCAATGTACAATTTGTATATATACATGTATACAAAACCCTGGCCATCAGCACAAATTTACTCTTATCCATTATCGGAACTGGTCGAATCATTGAGTTTTCGGTTTCGCGATTGAGTTTGTCGAATTGGTCGAAGCATCAGAGACCTCTTCACTTGACGAACTCCGAATATCGCCTTCCATCTACAAAGACAAAGTTAGCAATGAAATAATAAGTTGACATACAACTTAGGAATTAATACTCAAAAACTATTGGGTGGTGTACGGAATATAAACAACCTACCCTTTTAAATCAAATATCGTCCATACAAATGATGGTTGATATTTTTGTTATAGATCATTTTTATTTTTGTTAAGATTTCATTCTTTTCTTTCTTTTATCATAATTGCAATGTAAAAGATAATGGCAATCATCAAACATATAGGAAATATTTCCTAAAATACCAAAATATCTTTCTAAGCATATTGATCATTGATAGTATCAGACAAATTAACGTATAGGAAATAGACTCACCTGACCAGCCGAAATAGCATTGTAAGCAATCTTGAGGATGAGATGAGTCCAAAAAATATGCAGTGCAAGGAGTAGCAAGAGAAGGCCATTAAAAATATAGTAAGCAGGAAACATAGTATTAACTATCTTCGGTGCTGAAATGGCGGTGCTGCAAAATAAATATACAAAACATAAATATTACACACAACGTGCAATAATAAAACAAAACAAAGATGTTACTAAACAAAAAGCTTTCTTTTCTACTTCGATTAATTTCTTTTTAATCTTAGAGAAATCAACTTTAACCTTTTCGTCATCAATTTTTCTTGATAAACGGAAAAGGTTTTGACACTATATGTGAATCGTATTATTACATCACATGAGTGGGTTGATAGCAAAGACAGACATCTGTCATTTTCAAAAAGTGGAGAAAAAGTCAATTTTTGTTTTATAAGTTCAACTCAAACTGTTTCTGATGATTTTACTTAAGAATGTTCGAATTGAATCATGAAAAAAAAAATATTAGAATTGGTTTAAATTGAAGGCATGTTTTAGATAATTCGCTTTTTCTTAACTTTAAAAAAAAAATATTTAAAAAAAGATCTGTCTCTATTGAATAGTTTTAAAATTAAATTCTTTCTTAGCTCCAAATTAATTCACTCATTCTGTTTATTGTTAGCTTATACAACAGCGATTTTGTGTTTATTTAAATATAAATTGGTGTTGATCTGTACTAAGAAAAACATGACAAACAAAACTTTCAATTAAAATTTAAGAATAACTTGTGAAAAACATCAAACTTTGTTTTTCATTAGAAAAGTCCACAAAAAAATAAAAGTAATTTAACACAGTTAAAAAAAAAATTGATAAAAATTGATGAATCAGTGTCCCACGATTGAATTTTAAATATTGAGTGTTCATATTAAAAAATTTAGACCTCAAGCACTCAACATTCCATAGGAATAAGAGCAACTCTCAACAACGTTTCAAAAACCAATGAAACACATTTACTTAATTATAAACAATTTTATGTCAACAATACACAGATAAAAAGTCATTAAGGTCATATTTTCCTCACATTTCTGTTGGTGAAACAGATGGAAACTAGTTTAATTGATTTATTAATGCTCAGTTAAGAATAGAATTTAAAATCAATTGAACTACTACTGAATTAATTTATCATAGTTTGTTTTTGAACAGTTCATAATTAAAAATGCATTTTTCCAACACATAATAAATTTATGTAAAAAATGTCAACATTTTTAACTATATTTGGACGGGTTGTAGAAGTGCATCATAAAAACAGTTTTGAAATGCCAAAATTCAGCTCATTTAATTCAAACGGAGCAACTGGAAAAATTGAAATGCAGCTGGTGGAGGAGGGTCAAGGGAATATCTATTTCCCAAACCCTGGTGGTTCTAAAACAGATATTAAATTGCATATCTACACTTCCTCGTATGACCTTCAGAACATTTTTCTTCTTCTTCTTCCGGCACTACGACTTCAGTGGTGAGTCAAGGCCTCCAGCAACATCAACCGCCAGTCTATTCGGTTCCTTGCCACTGCCCTCCAGTTTCTTACTCATAAGATGGACAATGCATCCTCTGCCACTCCATTGGCCCTTCCACCTTAGTCTTGGCCTTCCAACTATCCTCTCGCCGTATTTCATCAAAAAGTTTCTTTGAGATCTCATCATTCTTCATTCGAGTAATATGGCCTGCACAATGCAGCCTTCCAATCCTTATGAATCTGACATTTTTATTATTATATATTTTTTCCATTTCAGAATTAGTTCTTTGTCGCTAAACGTTATCGCTGAACACTGGCCCAAGGATTCTTCTAAGGATTTGCCTCTCAAAACTTAGGGACATTAGTTCTTGAGCTCGAGAGATCGTCCAACATTTGGAAGCATAGGTCACAACAAACCTTATAAGGGTCCTCGACAGACATCTACTTTTGAAATGTTTCAGAAGTCCAAAATAGCATCTGTTTGCAGCTATTAACCATCTATTAATTTCTTGCTGCATTATTGTCGGAGTTAACTTGCGAGCCCAATTAAATGAATTCGTTCACACATTCAAACGAGAAGTTCCTGATAGTCCTGTTGATCTAATGCTTGCATACCTGCTGACTTAACTCTCCTCCACCAGCTACATTTCATATATTTGGTTTTTGATTCATTTATTGTTAGACCCACTCTTTGTGTTACTTCCCGTATAGCAAGAAATGTCTCCTTCATAGATGCCAAGCTTCTTCCCATTATGTCCAAGTCATCCACGAAGCCAACGATTTGAGGCATTAGTACATCAGTACATTCCAAAAGTATTTTTATTGTTTTCCCTAAAAATATGACTACAAAATTTAACTTTTAAATGATATCTAAAACTTTTTAACTGATTAGATGGATAATCTTCCATAAATAAATTTTGGCATCAAAACCAGTACACAATCTATTAATAATAAACAGAAATAAGTGTTCTTTACCGTAGATATTAATAAATAAAAAAAAAACAAACACAGAATTGTGACTTCCAGCAGATTTCTTTGCAGTACATAGGTACATTAATAAGGTCACAGAAATTTCTGACACTTCTTATACTTCAATATTTCTCCAACATACCCATATTCATATTTGCAATAGTTAAAATAAATAAATAATGGATAAAAACTTGTCTTACATTATAATAACATTAAAAGTACTAACCTGTAAATAATCCAAAATGGAAAAAGTCCTATTCGGGTCAGAAGCCAAATTAATGTAAATATAGCGAAGAGGATGTCACAGAATTTCTGATATTTAGCGTATTTAGCCATCTTAGCAGCCTGAAACAAAATAGATAAATTGTTCAAAATGCCTAACATTGTAACAACCATAGATTTCATAAATTATTTTTTTTTTATTAGTAAATAAGACATCTTGATTTATGTTAAAATGTTAGTAACAATATTCACATTCCGATTATGCAATTGATAATAAATAAATAAATAAATAGAAGCAGGGATATTTATTTATGTTAAAATATTTCAATATAAAAAATAAAGAAAATCATACACGTGCATTGTGATTTTGATTTATTCTTATGAAAAAAAAAATTAATGAGAAACAAAAATTATTCAAAACAGATATAAGTTTAGTAAATAATATCACACTTATAATTTATGAAAATGATGCATATAATTAAAATAACCATAAAGAAAATCAACTGATAAACTTATTTTTCTAAACTTTCTATTTCTATTGGTTTCTAGATCTTAGGCAGCTTTCTCCAGCTCTGCCTATCAAGGGCTATTGCCTTCGTTTGCTGCAGCAGGTCTGTAACACATTAGTTGGACCATCTATTTTTTGAAGTGGTCTCTTGCCATCCATAGGAGCATTCATTGTTGTGTTGGGGCACTCTGATGGTTTGCTTTGAGCTACATATCATCATGCTCATCTTCTAACTTCCTTGCCTTTAAATTATAAGATATTGATTGACCCCACTGTTTATTGGTCCTTACATGCTTTAGTACTCTAATCCGATATTGCTTTTATAAAGTATCCAGGTATTGCAGCAGTAAATCAGAACTGGCTATATAATAGCATTGTATATCCTTAATTTGAGTTTTATATAGATTTTTCAGGATTTCAAGACCTTCTGAGGAGAGAATGCTCAGTTTGTAATTAATTGAGTTTATTCCGGTATTTGAATCTGTCATCGTGAGAAAAAAATTTTCTTACTATACAAATTCTGTCATTGGCATGGATTTTAACCAATAAAATAGAGATAGAAAATTCGTTATTTTTACAAATGATATCAAAACTACCCATTCACAGTAATGAGCAAGTTGGAATGAACCACATAACCATTTTTTCATGATTAAATCACTAGCTTATTGAATCAGTTAAAGCACAAATCGCTTATCTAAGTAATTAATATGGTAGGTCTCTTAGCATTGATATAAATCAATTATTAGTTTTATATTGACAACCAATTGATTTTCTCTTCCTATTCGAATAGCGAAAGTTTTATCTTCAATGCATATCTTGATTGCTATTCCATTGTTTCAGCATTTTATCAGATTAGATTTCCAAGTTGGAGCGGTTATATAACGTAATAAAAAAAAAAAAAAAAAAATATATATATATATATATAAGAAGAAAAACTAGTAAATAGCAACACCTAGTTTTTGACATGACATTTACAAGTATTTTATTAGGCAAAAATTGATATAATTAACATATAATAAGAACTACACTGTCTGAAAACAAACGATAGGCAAAGTTAAATTATAATGAATAGAAACGTAGCATGATAGCAAAGGCAGAGGTAATGGGTGTTAGTTTTCACACTAAAGTACCTTTTAACTCCTGCCTAACATTACACTTAGAAAAGCGGGATCAAGGTTCATTTCATTTTTTTTTTTTTTTGTAACAATATCAAAGTAACAAGAGAAAATTTTGGAAAGTACATAAATATACTTCACTGCAGACAAAAATAATATGATCTGGTTATCCTTTATCAGTGGAAATTATATTAATTATTAAAAAGAAAAGAAAACTGTTTATTGAAATACTGTAAGTGAAAATCAGTGTGGTGTAACACATTTCATTAGCTTAAGCAGCTGGATATTTATAATCCATCATATGGATAAATCTCGTATATAAAATTGAGATAAAACTTTCATAATAACAAAAAAAGGTTCACATTTAGCCAGAGGTACCCATCCCCGCCAAGGTCGATGCCGTAGAACAACCCTCTTCCCATCCCAGCATCCCAATTATTTTAAAGCTCATCTCTTCTTAAAAACAGTGCAAGCGATAGAATTAGAAAAGTTGGAGAGATGAGAGAATCACTTTATTTTCATAAAAGGGAACTGCCAAATTATATTGGGTTGCTACAGACACAGTAATTATCAATCGACACAATGGACAATTCTTAAAACTTATCTATAAATATACAGTATTATGAATATATATGAACTACGTAAACAATTTTTTATTTGTGTTAATTTTTTTTTCAGTTTATTTTATTAATATCCTATTTCCCTTTCTTTCCCTTCTCTCCCTTTATACATTTATCTTATTTCTTCGGATATTTTCCACTAACGTAATTCATACTTTTGATGACAAATAATACAATACCGATGAGGTAAAAAAAAAAGAAGGTGCAGAGACAATGAAAAAACTGTTTCATGTTTTCCCCTTGTTCCGTGGTTTGAAAATCTGTTTTCTAAAAATTCATATTCCCATCAAAATATCTCTCCTCAAATGCCTGGGCATCCGTGTATTTAGCTAAACACTTGAAATTTGATTTGAGGTGTCGAGAGGACTGGGAGTATGTTCTGAGGCGGTAGGGTGATGTATAGGGCTGCAAAACATGATGCAATATTTCTCAGCTCTACTTTGAATAGATTCATTTACAGAAGCTAATAAACTATATTATAAACTAAATATATTTATTCAGAGGCGATATGATGAGAGAAAAAACAAAAATATTTCTTGAATCTGTCTTGCTTCTTGAGTTTTAAAGCTGGAAACATTAGTGTGAACTAAAAAGTGTAAGAACCAACAGTATGAGCTAGGTGCTGAATATGATGGGCCTATTTTCACTCTCGTAATGTAGCTCTGTCCCCAACAATTTTCTATAAAACTAAATATTTATGGTTCCAACCATCTGAGATGCTCGAGGCTAAATGAAAACTACAAGAGGATATTGACTGTATACATAGGTAGGCAAAAAAAAAATAAACTGAAACTGAAAGCAGACAAAGCTAAAGCAATCTTCATTGGTTCCAAGCACTTCATTAATTCCCTTCCTTTCTTTTCTTTACTTCACCTCAATAACCATCAGATACATTTCTTTCCAGCAGTAAAAACTCTCGGAGTGATCTTTGATCAGAATCTCTCTTGGAACAACCATATTTCTTAGATTATCCATATCTATCCTTAAACAATTCCTCCGATTCCGTGATTCCATTCCGAAAAAAAAAAAAAAAAACCAGACAGCTGCTTGTAACATCTCTTGTTTTCCACTACTTTGAATACGGTTACTTGGTGTATGGAGCTGGAGGCGAGACTGAAGAAATTTATGAATTACTTCATAAGATTCATCTTTGGAATTCCCAAGCGTTTTAATGTTTCCTGTAGGTACACCGAGTTGAAGTGGCTTTATCTTACTACCCTTCGGCAATTCCTTCTTGGTGTTTTCCTTTTCCAAGTCCTCAGAACCAAAAACCCTCCCTACATCTTAGAACTCCTAACTTTACACTCATCTATCCATTCTCTCAACCTATATATTTATATATCCCCTCCCATAAAACCACTTTCTTCAGTAAATTCTTCGTCATTCGTGCTACCTCCTTCTGGAACTCCTTACCCATCTCTATGCATCAAACCACGTCCATAAACTCCTATTCCACCACCTACTATACAAATCCAAACTTCCGCAAGCTTGTAAGAATTTCTGATTATATATAATTACGTTGGTCACCTGCAGTTAATTGGTAGGAGCCATTTTATTTTTATTTATCCACTTATTTTTCTCTCTCAGTATTTCTTGTATATATTTGTATTTTTCCTTAGTATCTTTATATGTATATATTTACATTTTCCTTAGTATTTTTTGTATATATTTGTATAAAATCTACATGCTAGACTAATGTACATATATTTTGAACTCTACTATTATTCTAAAGGAACTTCAGTCCCAGAATAAAATTATTTTTCATTTCATTTCATAAATAGCTTAGTAAATATGCTTGAGAAAAATTCGGGAGTTTTACGTCGTTATGTTATAATCAAATATACAAATACGCGAATACAAATTGAAAATTCATGAAAACACCCAATTATAAAACCAAATTATTCTTTATTATTTTATCATGAAGAAAAATCACGTTAGGGTTATAATTAAACAAAAGTAGGAGAGGACTAGAACTCTCTGTAGAATGGGAATGAACTAAATATACTTCGATGACAAGCAATATTGTCATTTACAATGATATTAATATCAGAGGACTAAGGATGACAGGTACCGCCGGGATCAGATAGAGTTAGTTCAATGGAGGCGGGGAAGGACATCTGATAGCCAGCAACATGTCCACTTCCTCATCATTGTACACAAACGCAGCACTGTACCCGCGATATTGTGGGGGACCTGCTTTCCAAGAACCACAATTAAGTACGAAACATTAGCGGCTCTTTCACCAGGAAGTACCAAGATGTTTATCGACGAGTGGAGCAGATTCATTGAAACAAGTGGCCAAGATTCGGGTGACGAGGGAGGAGAAAAATCTTCAAACAAGACGATACTAAAACGTGTGAAATCACAACAATAACTCCAGAAGGAATAGTTTGAATATCAAATACCACAAAGGTTAAAATATCTTAAAAACTAAATTAAATGCCAAATTACTTTAACGTACATGGTAAGAAAAAAAAAAAGAATTTTCCAGTCACATTCAGAAGACATTTTAGCGAAAATTATTATAAGAATGCATCAGACTTATAATTTAACCAATCAGGTTACAATTCACAAATTGTTAGAGCTCAATTAGGGAGGGTAAATAAAATTAAAAGCACGGGTAAAACAGGTGATGAGATCTTTTTTTGTTCGAAACAGAGGGGTTAAAACAGATTAATGAAAACACTGAAATCCTATTAGACCGAACGTGCGAAAGCAAGGCTTTCTTTTATGGAACACGGAAAGAATTCAATTTTAACAGCCTATTTTTTCTAAACCAGGTATTTATTTCCCTCCACCAAAAAAAAAAAAAAGTCCATATCTAAAAGACAAGAATTATTTATAGTTTGTATGAATATAATACTTTTATGTTCATTATTT